CCATTCCACAAGAAGAAAAGAACAATAATAAACGCTATATTTTGGAAATGTTACACATTACGAACACCCCTAATGAGAGAAGGATTAACTTTAAAACGGACACAGACAATTGCGCACATGTGTATCGCAATTTGGTGTTAAATCGGCAAAACAAAACACAACGTAGGTGTTCCGTTCCGCCTTCCATAATCAACATTCGTTCCGTTTCCCCAACATACCTTCATAGAATAACAATAAAATCCTGTGCTTTTATATGTACATATGTTTGTACATATACATAGTGTCTTACTGCTAAATGTTCCGTGTATTGTTGTTTGTATGTTTTTTGTTTACAATTACGGTATTTTTAATTGTTTAGTTCTGATGTTTATATTCATTTGCCTAACATTTCGCTTGTTTAACTTTTATTTCTGTACGCCTAATCAGTCCACCAGACACAATCAAGAGTGTAAGTTGTGTTTAATGTATGTTTGTAATAATTTAAAGTTAATAACAAGTTATCGTGTTTGTATATTTACAGTCCTGAAGATAACCTCAGATTGAGGTCGAAATATCGACAATTAAAAATATCAATGGAACGAAGTTTTGCGTTTTATTTAATTTCTTTTTGGTTGTTTGTGTTTCCGACAGGGTAGGAGTATGATGTATTTTGGTACGATTTTGCGTCATCCCTTGTCAAATTTGGTTTGGAGACAAACCGGTTTCGGCGTTGTGCCATCTTCAGCGTCATTTTTCGTTCTATATTTTCGTTTATTTAATTGCTGGGTTTCGAGCGTATTAAAAATGACTCATAATTTAAAATTCAAAGGCCAACAACAAGAACAAAATATCATTACTTTAATTGTAATCCGAAAACTTTCAGCATTACGATTACTATAATTGTAATTATAACATGCTTCATTGTGAATACTTTAATTGTAATCCTTAAAATTTAACGATTACGACTACTGTAATCGAAGGCGTACTTTTTATGAGATTTTCAGATTTTTATTTTATTTTTTTCGTAGGAGAGGGAAATGCTTTACGCACTGTCCGGGGGCGCTAGTCTCTATACTACTTTCCCCGAGTGTTGACTCCCAACGAAGCGTGTTGGGATACCCACTAAAACCCAAACTCCCACCGCCCGCGCAAGAATCCCGCACCTGGCACCGCAATTCTGCATGATGCAGGAGCGCGCTAATAGAGCCTCAAGGCTGCTCTTTTGTAGGGGTGTTTCATTCGGGTGTCCTCAGTAGACATCCGTCTTCCCGTTTGCAGCGGAGTGCACTTTTCACGTATTTCGCAACTGCTTTCTACTCTGCACTGGAGATCATTACCCCAATTACGTTGTTCGGGGTTATGTCTCCGTATCTTTCTTCCAACATTCTGCGCGAAATCAAGAAGTGCTCGCTAGTGAAACATTCTGGTTGGTGTACGTTATCTTCGACGTTTCCATAGTAGTGACAGAACGGTGAGTCTATGAAGATATTCTCGGAAGTAACCATGACCGGTGAGGAATTGTGTCAGGTAGAAATCGACTTCCCCGTGCTGTCTTTTCAGCCATGTTTGAGGGTTGGCTATCAGAGTGTGCGTCCATCGACCTCTTGTGCTCGCGTTTCAGTTTTGTTACCACTGCTGTATTAGATCCTCGCGCGCCTTTGCCGCGACAGCTGCTCGACCTATCTCGGCACTGAGATTGTAAATCTATTTTCGCTCGTAAGCAGTAGCTCAATTGGCATGACGCCAGAAATAAATAGAACCGCGTTCGCGGACACTGTGCGGTATGCAGAAGCAATACGTAGTGCCCTTTTGCGCTGGACCGAAGACATTTGAATCCGGTATTTTTTAACATTCAATGCTCCGGCCCATATTTCTGCCTATTTTCAGGAGCACTGACTGGACTGTTGTCATCAAAAGTTTCCTACGGCATGGCTTCGAGCCGTAAGATTACAATTACCGTAATTTTAATCATGAATATTAGGATTACGATTACAGTAGTCGTTATCATTAAATTTTCATGATTACGATTACAGTAATTGTAATCTTAAAATTTTTGGGACTACAATTCCGGTATTCGTAATCATGTCTTTCATGATTACGATTACAGATTACAGTAATCTTAGTTCTTAAATTTTTAAGATTACAACTATTATAATCATATAGTGGATTCCCTTAAACTTTGTAAAACTCGTAACTTTACGAGGCTTTTATGGGAACGCCCCCTATGTAAAAAAAGGTGTAAATAGGTGCGTAAAGGGACTGCTTGACAGATCAACCAGGATTTTCTGAAGCAATTTTAGTTTCGTAGTATTTTCCATAACATCCCGCCGTCTTGTCTCTATCACTCTTGGCTAAAATATAATTAAAAATGCTGAAAATAATCATAAATTATCATTTAGTTTCAATATAGTATAAAGATTTCGGCCCCTCGGCGACACTGAAGTTTAGGAGGCCGTTTGCACATCAAATTTGCCTCGTAAATTTACGAAGGGCTCGTAAATAGAGCTCCAAACCAGTTTTGACAGGTCTTTTATGAGGCTCGTAAATTTACGAGCTTTACTAGGTTTACGAGGCTTTCACGAGTTTAAGGGAAGACCCCTCTAATGGTAACGTATATGATTACAATTAAAGTAAACGTATTCGTATATAATTGAAGGATTATAATTAAGTAATTGTAGTTGAAATGTAATCGTAATCAAAAATTACCCAGTTCTGTTTCGAAGTACTAGAAACACTGTTGCCAATTTCGTGCTTTTGGAACTAAATTTAGGGCATTTCTTTATTCAAACGCGAAAATTTTAGAGTTTAGTGCTTGGTGCGTTTTTTTGTTGCTTTTTTTTAAGTTTGAAGACATCAAATCTGTAAATCTTAAAGCAAAAAGGGAGGCAAAATTTATAGCAATCGTAATTTTGTACGAAACTTCCGAAAAATTTAAACAAAATCATTTTACAATGGCAATCATAAGCGAGAGAGCATTTGTTTACCAACAAAACATGTGGCAGCACTTTCAATCATGTCAAAATTACATTCGGTAATTCACCAATGCTGGGACCATAAATCCTTTAGTTTGGGCTGAATTTGTGATATTTTTTTACGACTATTCAAAAAAGCAGCATCATCTGCTAACAGTAAAATTAATATCTAACGCAGCGTTGCCAGGTTGACGTTTTTAACGTTTTTTGTATCCTGTTGACGATTGGACGGTTTTTGTGTAAAAAAGGACGTTAATTTTGAGATACATCTCTATATTATTAAGCGTGTGATATTTCAATGTATAGCGTACTATTTGCTTGTAGAGTAAATACTTACGCTCACACTCTGCAAATTTGTTACTATATCTCGTAAGTAGAACTGATTTCTAATTATTTTCTTAAAAAATCTTTACAAGCTTTGTTTTTTGCACCAGCTGCTTCAAAAGATATTTATTCTTTGGACACAGATGACTTAAATATGATACAAACCAAGCGTACGCGCATTTTTTTGATCCTTGGACTAAGGATACCACGTTCAAAGGCTGGTTGAGGTTATGAGGCTTATTGCAATGTTTGCAATTGCACATTAAAAGCCAAATCAGGAAGAGTTGACCTATTGCAACACGCACACTTGCAAAGGTACCAAAAAAGCTGTAGCAGCATTGAAAAGTTAGAAAAAAGTTGGCGACTTTTTTAAGACTTCATTGAAAATGTAATGAACGCAAAAAAGGCTGAAATATTGCTATGTTCCTTCTTAGCAGAACGTAATTTAGCATTTTTGACAACCGACCACGTAACCAAATGTCTACAAGAAAATAAAAATATTAAAATCAACGCGATTTTTCAGCAACTTAAAACTTGCACATTATTGCCCTGAAATTTAATGTGCTATCAAACTGCATACTCAAAAAAGTTCTAAAAGATCTGAATAAAAAGTTGAAAATCTAGCTGAAACTTTTCAGATTTTTATAATTTTTGCACAAAGTTTGAAATGTGAATTTATGTTGTGTTTGTTATATAATGAGCTAAATAAATAAATAAAAAAATTGTGTGCACTCTTCATTTTGCGATTCAGGAAGAGTGAGAATGAGTTTTAGCTGTCAAAATTGTGTACACTTCCTCATTTTGCGATTCAGCATGTGTGAGAATGAGTTTTAACTGTCAAAATTGTGTACACTTCTCTTCCGAAAAACTCACTGAATTTTAGTCGGGGAGTTTTTGGTTGTGAGTTTTGCACTCGGTGTACACTACATTTTCTCACAGTTACAGAATAGAGCCCCTGGTCTGTCCATCTCGGTGGGACCCTCCCTCTTCCGTTGCTATCACCAGCAGGTTCCGAGTTGAATACTTTCAGAGCTGAAGTGTCGGTATCCATTCGAACGGCATGGCCAAGCCAGCGGAGCCGCTGTATTTTAATTCGCTGCACTATCTCCATGTCGTTGTAAAGCTCATACAGCTCATCGTTCCATCGTCTGCGGTACTCGCCGTCCCCAACGCGTAAAGCCCGTAAATCTTCCGAAAAATCTGTCTCTCTAATACTCCAAAAGCCGCCTCATCGGATGCTGTCATTGTCCATGCTTCTGCGCCATATAACAGCACGGGCATGATGAGTGACTTATAGAGTGTGGTTTTCGTACGTCGAGAGAGGATTTTACTACTGCATTGCCTACTCAGTCCAAATTAGCACTTGGTGGCAAGAGTAATTCTGCGTTGGATTTCCATATTTCTGATATTTATCTAGGTTGTACCAAATCGTTAATTTACAGCCCTATTCTAATAAAACCTCACAACTGAGTTGTGAGCAAAAATTTGTGAGATTTCTTGTGAAGTCTATTTTGTGAGATTATTCTTGCCCACACCTCATTAGAAACAAGCTCAACAAAATCACCACACGAGGTGAAAAACATTTTGCTGTCTAACAGCTGTTTCATAAATAAAATAAATACAAAAGGTCGATGCTGAACAACAGGAAAAGTAAATATTTTTGCAACTTGTTTATTTTTTTGAAATTACTGATTTTATTTATTTTCTAGGCGAATTCAAAAAGAAATAAGGGTGGGCTTTAGATTGCTAACCCCGGAGTTCAGCATTAAGGAAAATATGGGAGGTAGATGGGGGTCTAATAGTTCCCTGTATGAAGTTTCAAAGCGCGCAACTTTATAGTTTTTAAGTAATTTGTTATTAAAGTTTGTAATTTTCACCAACTTGTATTGGACTATTTCACAATATATAATGCACTTTCCACTAAATTTACACGTTATTTACACTCAATACATGCGCAGTTAGATTGTGCACGTTCAAACAAATAAATACTTTTAGTATATTACAGCTTTTTTATAAAAAATTGATTGTGGTTTAATTTTATGCGAGTACATGCAGAATATGTGCAAATGGCAGCAGGACTGTGTTGCCATATGTAAAAAACCAAGAGTGGAAAGCAAGACCAAAAGAAAATACGATTAAAAGGAAAATACGATAAGGTTCTTTTGTTCAGATAAAAATAAATAGTAGGGGGGTTGGGGTCATATTCCCCTCTTCCGGCAACACAGAAAATAATCCCGAACTGCCTGAGGGTTATAATCCCTAAGTGCGGCCGAAGGCCGCCTACGCAGAAAGGTGTTCTATGCAAAAGGTGTTCGGCCCCTTTTCTTTGGCAACACAGAAAGGAGAATTCTACTGCCTGAGGGTTATAATCCCTAAGTGCGGCCGAAGGCCGCCTACGCAGAAAGGTGTTCTATGCAAAAGGTGTTCGGCCCCTTTTCTTTGGCAACACAGAAAGGAGAATTCTACTGCCTGAGGGTTATAATCCCTAAGTGCGGCCGAAGGCCGCCTACGCAGAAAGGTGTTCTATGCAAAAGGTGTTCGGCCCCTTTTCTTTGGCAACACAGAAAGGAGAATTCTACGTTGTGAGGTTATAATCCCTAAGCGCGGCCGAAGGCCACCTACGAAGAAAGGTGTTCAGCCCCTGATCCCCCTACTATTTAATTTAATCTGAACAAAATAACCTTATCGTATTTTCCTTTTAATCGTATTTTCTTTTGCTCTTGCTTTCCACTCGTGGTTTTTTACATATGGCAACACAGTCCTGCTGCCATTTGCACATATTCTGCATGTACTCTCATAAAGTTAAACAACAATCAATTTTTTATAAAAAAGCTGTAATATACTAAAAGTATTTATTTGTTTGAACGTGCACACTCTAGCTGCGCATATATTGAGTGTAAATAACGTGTAAAATTAGTGGAAAGTGCATTATATATTGTGAAATAGTCCCATACAAGTTGGTGAAAATTACAAACTTTAATAACAAATTACTTAAAAACTATAAGGTTGCGCGCTTTAAAACTTTACATACACCCCCTTTAGAACCCCCTCTACCCCTCCTATTTTCCTTAATTCCGTAAATGGGGGTTACCATTCTAAAATTTTCCCAGAAATAACAAAGCAGGAGTAGCTCCAGTACTTCACACAGTTTGCAATCCACAACTTGGTGCACAAGTTTGTACGGAAATGAAATCCTATGCCTGCTCTAACTCTTCCGAAACTGCCGCATAAACAAGCAATAACTCTGTCATTACTGAATATACTTTTAGTTAAAAAGAAAATAACACAGACACTGATAGCGGACGAAAATTAACAAAACATTTGCTCAATAAAAATCGGCTGTTTTTCTCTTGTGAGGGTCTCATTCGTACATCATAAATTTTCTGACAATTGTGAGCGTATGAGCTTTGGAATTTACGCCAGCATAGGGATAACCTCACAATAGTCAGAAACCTCACAATAGTGAGTGTGCTGATTTTTGTGAGGGCAACAGAATAGGGCTGTTAGTTGAAGGGTTCCAAATTCCATTCAACTTAACGTATGGTTCATAAAAAGATGTTATTAAGCTCTGCTAATACAGATAAGCTTTCTTTCAACACACGGTTTAGTCATAGTTACCAATTCTTAGTTGAGGAACCGCGATTTGGTTTGAGAGCCTACAAATTAGGTCGGTGTTATGCAGACAAACTTTTGTTTGCCAAATTAAATGGCGGCTGCTTAGTTTGCTCGGAGGGGGTTATGTCGAGTTTGGCACAGGGTTGCACGTTCATTATGGTTTTCATGGCTATTGCCAACACGAAATGAGAATTTCAGATGTACATAACGCGCAAAATTTAAAATTTTTTGTCTATGGCAACACCGAATTTGCTGCAGTTTGACCAAACAAAATTAGTTTGCTGTGAGAGTCGCCAAACTCGCTCTCTCCGAGTTTGCTGCAACAACAATTGCACGCAGTTTGCCATACAAAATTTCTGCATAACACCGACCTTAGCAATTAGAGCAGCAAAACTATCGATGGCACTATCCATAGTATCGATTGCTTCAATTTGTCACCACTATCGATGAATGGTGGTCACTATCGCGATACTATCGGCAATCTCTTCTCATCGTTTTTTTTTACCAGTAATAGGGCATTCGCACGCGGCGATTTTACAGGCAACAAAAGTTGAATACGTAGTTGAATGAGAAGTTGAAAGTGAAAAAGTTGCCATCCCTATTCAGACGAGGCGATTTTGGATTCAACACGAATCGTTATTTACATTATTGAAAATGAATTTAAATCGCAAAATTTTATCAATTGGCGTAAATTTGGTAAGCCAAGCGTTGGTAGAAGTGCTTTTAGCGAAGCTGAAAGATAAAATAAGAGTAAAAAAGTAAAAAAGAAAAAAAAGTATGTATACAGAACAGTGTTGGCATTTTTGGTACAATTGTACTTGTTTTATACAATTTCATTTACAATATACTTTCCTACTACGCAGTACTTTTCAGTAAAATTTTGTAATGAATACTAAAAATATATAGCTCTGAAAATTCATAGTTCGCCTGTTCGTATTTACCTTTGTAAGTTTTGAAAAATGGCTTGAACGAACCAGTATAACATAGCCTAGGCAAATTTTTAAAGAAACTTTTCGATACTAAGTTTTATTAAAACAAAATGTCAAAGTCAGCTTCATATGGAAACAAAGTCTTCGTTAGTTATAAGAAGAGATTTTCTTAAATATAATACCTTTACGGCACTCACATATTGACAAGGTTTTACTATTTATTTTATTATTCTTTAATTTCAATTATCTGTTTATAAACTATAATCTATTCTTTAAGAAAAACTGTATAAACTCAAGATTAAATCTTTGCGAAACATCCAAAAACCAACATACTGTCGTAAAAATTTCGAGCTTTATTAATATTCTTTAGTTTTTAGCCCATTCAATTTTAGTATAATAAAGTGCAAGTTTAGAGTAGCTGGGACTTACTTGGCAATTTTTTTGTCGACGATGTCAGCCATTTTGTTCCATACGAAGTGTCTTCGACGATTTTTTTATATGGAGAAAATTAGCAACACCTTCATCAAAGAAATCTTAAAAAACTTAGTTATATTAAAATTTAATGGGCTAAAAAAGCACACACTCAAAATAAATCAAGGAAATCGAATTAAATAGATCGAAGTTTTTACGAAAGTGTGTTGGTTTTTTTAATGTTGCAAAAAGTTTGAACCTTGGATTTGTACGGCTTTTCTTAAAATATAAAGCGTATTTTTACAAAAAATAATTAAAATTGAATATTATTAAGATAAATCGTCAAATCTTCTCGTAAAGTTTTGATAAGCACTTGAAATTCTATTAATATGTCAAATTTTAGTACTGAATCCAAAGAAAATGTCTCTTTTATCCATTAATAATAACTTAAATATGCTTTTTGTTAAG